AATATTATCGGACTATGGTTTTTGGTAAGAGAATTTAATGTTGTATCTGGCAAATGTGTGGGAATTGGTTATCATTAATTTATATGGAAAGTGTTGAAAATGCACATGAACAATTTGGAAGCGACATGTATCTTTAAGGAATGTTCAATCAACTATGAAGCCATACAAACCTTTCATCGTTAAATTAGGAAGTGAAACTTAGTAAGGTATGACGCTATAGGATGAGAGGGGCCAGATTTTCGATTCCTTCCTTGGCTCTTACTATAAATGAACAACTTTTTGACCATAACACCGCTACGTCGCTTCTCGGCATAAATATAAGGACAAATAATGGTCCCTTCTTTGAGGGTTGTGGATGTGTATGCATTCGATGACCAATAGTGAGAAGCTAATCTCGCATAATCCCTTGTTATATAAAGATCAATACCCTGGTGCATAAAAACAAGGAGTGATCATTTAGAAGCTTGGCTCACTCTCGAACAAGAAGAAATTCTTCCCATTAGTTGATGAGAGAGCCTGCATTGACAAAACTGCCTCATTTAATAGCATATTTTAAAACATCTATTCACATGCATATATGCAATTCTAATCAGTTACCATCTCATCTAAGAGGGAGGGGATCGATGGGACAATGTTTTCTTTGTAATTAATTTCAAGAAGAGGCTGAGAAAGGTATCATTTTCATCTATATCATAAATCATTTGGTAATAAAGCACTTTGATTTCTGAAATATTAAAAAATATATTATTGGGATTTAATATAATAGCCTCATGCTGATGGGGTTTTCAAACTAAAATGTTGATGGCAGAAGGAGAAAACTTCTTAGGGCGCTGGTGTAATGGGGAGGGGGCTATCCTTCCGGCATTCTCCCTGGCAAGTCCCTCTGGCTCTCTTCCACAACTGCATTTCGGAAAGAAGAATGGAAGTATAAGGTGATGCTAGAGCTTAGGACGAGTTTTCTTGTTTGCCACAATCTCCATAAACCAAAAGCCTCATCTCTCGATGCCATCTCATGATTTGAGCTTTTCATCTTTAAGTCTATTTAATTATATTCCTACAATAACTTGGACAATTTGAAATCAAACATAGATGAATGTTTCCACGGTAAACGATCTATTTTAAAATTCTAATTGAATACCACTAGACTTTCATTCATTGCTTAAAAATCTTAATTGAATACCACTGAACTTTTAAGCTTCAAAAATAATTCTATTAAAATCCTAATTGAATATGCCCTCCTAAAATAATCATGATAATAATCAAATGATTAAATAATTCCCCAATGAATTGCTTTTTAAGTGATTATCCAAAAAATAGAATGTTCCAGTTATATTGAACCAACTAATGTCATAGATTGGAAAGTTAATCTCCCTATCTCTTGGTTGGACAAAATATTTCCCTTTCTAACGTATTACATCGTTTAATTAGAGCAAACTCCACCCATTTGTCATGGCAAAGGGCAATGGGGGGCTAGGGCAGATACTATTCACGTGAATAATGGCTGCCATTGCAAAAAGTAATGTGTGTTTCCACTCGTTGTCATGGCAAAGGGCAAATACTATTCATTTTTTTTATTTTTTTACCTAAACAATTAATTTGGATAATATTTTCAGATAAGATTTTTGGGTTCGTACGTGTCAATATTTATTATAAAATTCATATCTCATAATCAGATAAAATTTTTAGATAAGATTTTCGGTTTCAAATTTCAAATTTTAAATAAACCGAAAATCAAAATTTTCTCCACATGTGAGAGAATTTCATCTCATTGCCCGTGACTGGACAATGAGCAACATGGACCCAACTCTCACACAAGAGAGCATCTTCCATGGTTGCCTACGCGCCTCCGGCTTCGATGGAAGATGCCATGAGATGGTGAATAAAAATGAAAATTGGAAGTGAAGAAATTTTTGTGTAGAAAATGAAAAATAATACAAAGAGTGGAAATTGTATGAGGATTTGGTGTTGAACGTGAAGAAGAATGGTAGGTATTTATAGAAAAAAAGTTCAAAATTTTTTGGTGAATATTTAAAAAAAATTCGAATTTTTTTCACATTTTTTTTTGCCCAAAAAAGCCCAGCCGTTGGATTTGAGGAAAAAAAAACCATCAGAGCACCAGAACGCGCCATGTGGTGTGTTACCGTTAGACAACGTCAGCGCTGACGCCAGCCTGGCATTAGCGTGTAGTAAATCAAAATTTTTTTTAAATGTTGGCGCGTGCGTAAAAAAAATTTGAATTGGCGTGGCTGAAGCTAGCCTGACGTCAACCATGACGTCACCTCCCCTCGAGCTCGATCTCAGGCTGCTTCCCCCCACAGGCTGGCCCAGTAGCATGAGACCCGCGCCTTGCCCGGGCTGTCTTGACCTACTGGAACGACTCGCCTAGGCTTGGGCTTTGTCCTACCCGGGCTGTAGTCTACTGGTGGAGTTGCTCTTAGTCATCGCACGTAGGCTCCCCCAATGCCATACTTATATACATAGCGTGGTAATTGTTATTTTTCTACTATGGACTGAATCAAATATATGAGTTCTAGATTACACATATATTATGACCTGTTCCTTTTCAAATATGAACTTATTAATATCTGTTTCCGTAGTTTGTGATGTGGCCAAATTTTTAACCCAAATCCTAAAAAAATTAATCAAAATATACGTAACACGTAATACACATATGTGTTCTTCTTGTTATGTGAGTTAGGTTATCCCCAATTATATAGTCTGTAAATGGGGCTAAAAAATGGTGGATAGAGACCCATTTAGAGATCCGTAGGAATATTCCAGGCTCTAAAAGTATTCCACAATGAGGGGTTCTATATCCGAGGCTCTATATGAATTTTTTTATAATGTAATTTGTTTTACGTGTTGATTTTTGTTGTTATTAACTTAGTTTGTTTTATTGTATGTTTATGTTATGTTAGCTTTTTTTTTATTTTTTTTATTTGAACATTTCTACCAAAACAAAAAAGCAAAAAAAAAAAAAAAAATTTGGAGTGGTAACTCTAAAGGTAAATTATAATGAATATAAAAAAAAACATTTCTACCCCATTTATAATTTTAAAAAATTAAAAGAAACATAGAAAAATTGTAGTAATTCTAAAGGCAAATTATAACAATTGAAAGCAAAAAGAAAGGAAAAAAAAATAGAGAGAAGGAAATATCAAACCAAAAAAAGAAAAACAAAAAACAAAAACAAGAAAGAAAACAAATAACAAAAGGAGTAGAAAAAGCCTTTTATTTGGTTGCTATTAGAAGAAGAAAAAAAACATTAAACAAAGCCTGACGTATGTTGCATCTTTTCAAAATATAGGACCCGCTTGGACTCTAGGGGCTCTATCAGAGTTCATAGATTTAGAGACAGCTCTGATGGGGCTTTATGAAATAGGGCCCCAAATCCCTTCCATTGGGAATGCCTTTTAACACGTGGACTCTATATTATAGAGCCCCAAGGAGGTTGAGCCCCATTTAAGGCCCCTATTAGGGATGGCCTTACAGGTTATGTTTAAAACTAAAACGAGACAATGACACAATTAGAAAGAAAGATATTACTTCATTTAGATCCTAAGGGGTATGTATTGAATTGAGGTTTTAATGGATTATTTTGAAGCTTAAAAGTAAAACGGTATTCAATTATGATTTTTAAGTAATCAATAAAAGTCTGGTAGTATTCAATTAGGATTTTTAAATAATCAATGCAAGTCCGATGATATTCAATTAGTACTTTTAAAATATAAGAAAAAGTACCGTGGTAGTAAAAAATTTACTGATTTTAATGTATTTCATTAAATTGTGTATTGTGTGAGATTTTTGAGTGTATAATACAAACAACAAATCACATAAGAAATTCCACCCTCCTATGCCTGATTCTTATATATGCTCTCATACGTTTTTTTTTTTCCCATTATTTTTTTATGCTTTCTACTCTGCAAAAGATATAAATATAAAACAAAAAACAAAAAACTCTTCAGCTGGTGGGCTTGTGTGTCTCGATTGGTTTCCCCTCCTACCTGGGTAGCGGTGGTATTGGTCCCATGGTCTTGAGGTTGTGGCTGAAGCTGAGTGGTGGGTACTTTGGCTTGGACTTGATTTTTTTATTTTTATTTTATTTTATTATTTTATTTTGCAGATTTGGGTGTTCCTTATCTATCCTAGATCCATATGTTTTTAGGGACAGTCAATTGATTTGGTTGACTTGGGTGGTCTTGCTGGAACTTTCGTGGTTCTTGGAGTGGACAAGCTAGCTATGTGGATTTGCTTTTCATTGTAGTTGTAGTTTTATGTTGTATTATTTTGCTTGTGAGAGTTAATGGTATTTTTGCATTTGTAGTTGAGTGCTCGTGTGAGTGGTGTTCTTACATGTTATGTCTAGGCTCTCAGTATCTTTAATGTATTCATTCTGGTCATGTGTGGCTATATTGGGAGTTATATTGTTGATGTCAGTGTACTTCCCTTGGACTAACATTTGATGGTTATTGTGCCACTATCTTGGTATTAACCCTAAAAATTGAGTATATGCATCCTAAAAATTGGGCAAATTCCTTCAAGTTATGTATAGGTGAATGATGATGAGTGATAGAGTTCAAGCTTGTATAGAAATATAAGTAAAATCATATAATTGCAATCTATCAAAATCATAAGTAAAATCCTAAGTGAATTAAAATCATAAGTAAAATCATGTAATTGCAATCTATTAAAATCATGCGTAAAATCATATAATTACAAATCCGGCCGAAATCCATTACATTAAAATTATGTAATTACAATCTGTTAAAATCTCAATTGAATACACCTCCCTAAGAAATTAATGGATACAAGAAGCAAACACAATGAGACAAAAACTAAAACTAAATAAAAACAACCAGAGAAGTACATACAAATGCATATGCTTTCTCTGATGTTCAATGTGTTTTGGATGTCATTTTATTTATTTCATCAAACTACATGTCAAAGTTGTTACCTCCAAATTACCCCATGAGGCACTTCCTCTATCACTCCTCACCACCTCAATTATCACCAGCAATAATGCTGCTTCCAATATCAAAACCCATCAGTCTGATGCCTCCAATTTTTCTTCCCGCTCCATTGCTACTGCTCCTTCCAACAACATTCTCATCATCACGACCCGCCTGAGAAGAGACATCAGCTAGTGGAAGATCCTTCTCCAGACGCTCCATAATTTGTGAGATTCCCTTCATTTTCTCCTCTAAAAAAGAAGCCAGATAACTTATTTTACTAGTTTCAAGTAGATACATTGGCATACCTTTGTAAAGATCGTGCATGATGTCGTTCATTTCCATCTCATAGTTCTGCCTCTTGATCTTCCTCAATTGCTGTTCTAGCTTGGCAATTGTCTCCTTTAGGTAAGTCTCGTGATCCATCATCTTCCTGGACCGTTCTGCTTCTGGGATGCTCTGGAACTTTGCAATTAGTTCTTTCACCTCTGAGGGAGAAGGCCACACATCTGGCTTGTCGCTGTCTGGGGCATAGACAATGGCGAAAGCACCCACATCACATAAGGTGCTTATTTCACTAACTTTCTTCAACAAGCTTCCCTTCCTCCTTCGGAACCTTTTCTTCCTAGCACTATCGTTCTCTATCCATGCAAGCTTCACCTTTGTCCTAGCCATGGTAAAGCAACTCTCTAATCTCTCTAGGATTGATTTCTTTGGTGCTCTGAACTATACCCACTCATAGCTATATACATAGCTAAAGCAAAGGAAAGATTAAGACTCAATGTCATTATTTTGATATTGACAAAGGTGGTAGGTCAAGGAGAGAAAAGACGCAGACGATATTAATCATTAAAATTGTTCATTCATAGAGAGTAAAAAAATCTGTATTTGAAATTCTCGGATGTGGCTTGGTAGGAAAATTAAATTTTGCATCTGGCTAATGTAGGCAATTCTACATGTACTACTGACTTAAATGGTATGTGTTTTTAAGGAATGTTAGGTAATCTACAAAGTTACATAAAACCTTTGTTTGATTTTTGACTAAAGTACAAACTCATCACCCCACTCATATATAGGAAGAGATTATGTTGACCAATTTAGTCCCTGTGTTTAGACCGAAGGGGGGTTGATGAGCGGAGGGCACATAGCCAAAGGGGGAGACATGAAGAGGTGGCGGGAGCGGGATGAGGGTGGAGATCTGGGGTGGTGTTGGGGATGGGTCAAAGGGCAATGGAATGGTTGGTGAAGGGGTGTAGCGTAGGGACTGTTCTTGAGAGAGATAGAGTGATTGTTGGAAGGATCAGACATGGCGTGGTGGGCTGTTGTTGAGGAGGTAGATGAAGAAAGTTGAGGTTTCACCCCAAAACCAATTGGCAATAGGTGAGAGTAGCCCAATTCCTTATAAAGCTTTTGCTAGGTTTCTCAACTTTCCAATTTGGGACTTTTTACCTTCACATTCTCACACACCCCTCCCGCCCCCCAACGTGTGGTGAATTTTCAAACCTAGCACGAAGACCACATATTAGGTGACGTGGAGCTGTTGGGCTTTCACACGTGGGCTACCCTGGCTCTGATACCATGAAGAAAGTTGAGATTCCACCCCAAAAACAATTGGCAATGGGGGGAGTAGTCTAACTCCTTATAAGCCTTTACTAGGTTTATCAGCTTTCCAATGTGGGACTTTTTACCTTCACATTCTCATGATTGGTGGTGGTGGCTATTGGATGTGGTGTTTTTTTTTTAATAGTTTTTTTTTTTTTTGGTATTAAACTAGTTATGTTTTTTATATTAATATTTAAATAGTTTTAAATTATTTTAACAAAAAAATAACGGAATGGACAACATTGGCTAACAGTTCTAAACACAATGATTAAATTGGCCAAATTGAAAACACATGAACTAAATTGGCCAACATTGTAAAACACAAGGACCATTTTTAGCATTTAAGCCTACAATTTTTCTTCTTAGGGAAGGATATCGAACTCAAACTATTGCGATTTGAGTAAATGCTCTTAATCATCTTAGCTATAAGTTTTTTTTTTTTATAACTATGGCTGATTTTTGGATGGATTGAATCAGAATTAGGGGATTCCAATTCCATTCCAAAAATATTCGGAATGAAAATTCTTTTCCAATTCCGTTCCAAAGAATTTCGGAATTTTAACATCCATTCCAATTCAGAAATCTCGGATTTTTTGGAATTATTGGAAAATTTCGAAACTTACATTTTTCGATTTCTTTTTGGGAAGTTTCAGAAACTCATTGAAAATTCTAAACATGACTACAAATTTGAAAGGTTAAAATTGGCTCAAAATTGAAAAATCATACGAAAAAGCTCGAAAAACTATTATATGCTATCAATTATATGTTGTTATCCATTGTGAAATAGCTTGTCTATGTCTATTTGGTCATTAATTCATATCAAATTCAATATGAAACTAGTCATTATGTATAGTCCAAGCTTGAATCCTCAATATATTTCGAATTTCGGAATTCAGAAATTTCGGAATCTTGACATACTTTCCAATGCCAATCCAATTTTTTTTGGAGTTTTCGGATTTCGATTTTTTGGAGTTTTCGGATTTCGGAACTTTCGTATGTCGGAATTGATTTGGACTCGTCATATTCAGAAATTTTCAGATCTAAATGGAATTTTCAATCCAACTTACACCCCTATTTACAATTGATAGTCTTTAGAAAACCATACGACAAAAAGAAATCATGGTGGGTGCTTAGCTCATTGGTATTCTTTGTCCTTCTATGCCCATACTTTAGGCCTCTCACAATAAAAAATAAGAGCGTCTCTAACAGCCTCTTCAACAACTTTGAAATGCTAAAATAGGTGAGCCACATCATCAAAACGCTCTCCAACAGCCTTGTCAAACTCAGTCATCAAAGTTGCCACCTCTTTCTCTCTCTCTCTCTCTCTTCAAGATTGGTAAGTTGTCATTGGCTCTTCAAAACATTTAATTTTGCTTTGGAAAAACAAAATCTACCTTGAAAATGTTTTTAAAATATGTATTTCTTCTTTTCAAATAATAAATACATAGATATTTTTCACATATTTTCATTCTTTTCCATAACATTGCAATAATTTAATTAAAAAGTATGTTGGGGCATTAATTGTTAAAGTAGCAAATAAGCCTTTTCAAATTATCAAATAGGTCAATAATTTTTAATTTGAAGAGTTTAATTTTTCTACGATCGCCTTAACATCATTATGACAGGACAGGTTTGCCATCTTCATGGTTAATGTCACATTTATATATTTTTTCCATCTATAATTGTTGCATCGATCATTAATCTCATACAAACACAATTTTTTTCATACAGAACATATGTGGTCCCAGTCATGTGAAAACCATATATACATAGGTATCACAGTTTTAAGATGAGATATCTTGTGTCAATAAAAAAACGATGAGATATCTATTAGGTAAGGAAGGATTTTTTCGTAAACCTAAGAGCATGTTTCAACAAATTTGCAACTTACAAAAATTGAGATATTGGGAGAAACTAAACTCAGTCAATGAACTGATTCTTATTGTTTTAAAATCTTTGTAATTCAAGATTTTTTGAGAAATGAATTTGGGATCTTAATGTGTGAAATTTTAGAATTAACTTATGTATTTTAACATTGTTATAGTTCTAATGCACCCTCTAAATATTTTTAGATATTGCACGGAGTATATCTTAACACTCCCTTTTCCATTTCTTCAAGACCCTGTAGATAATCCACTTTCCATTTCTTCAACACCCTGTTATCTACAGGGTTTCATAATTAACCGACAAAACAACTGAGTTGGATTTTGGACATACCCTAAACTGCGTGGTGCTTAACTAAGTTGTTTCTCCAGGTGAGCAAGCAAAGTTTTTTTGGCGAGCAAGCAAAGTTTTTTTGGTCCTCCAGTGATTTAGTACATAAAAAGAGTGATTAATACTAATTTCGCCAATTCTGAAGAAGCAATTTTGCAAATTGAACCATTAATACACTAACAATTCCAAACCAGCCAACTGCAAAGTTGGGTGTCACAAACAGGCCCAACGCACATGTAAGAGCAAGTCCAGCAGCACAGCCCAGCCCGAGGGGAGGGGGGAAAAAAACAAAAATCCGTTTCCAGCCATGCAGCCCAGGCCCGGGGGGGGTGCGGGA